TTTACTGGAATGATCAGTGCCAAGTCTAGTTGTGCACTGTCCGTCTGCCACAAAATTTGTCCCAACATGAAATTGGCCATCATGTGGCGACACATGTGAATAAGGGATCTTTAAATCGTGTTAACAATTCCGTGTCCACCATTAAGATGCTAGTATATTGCTGTTCAAGGATACGTTGTCATTTTAAGTCTGGACTTGGTATTGCATTGTGAAGTAATTTCCAAGAAGCTTTTGAGAGTTTCGGATAAGTCCAAGTTTTTTTTCTATCACAAATTGACAATAAATTATGTTTAACTTAAATTTACTTAACCGTTAAAATATTACTTCATTTTATATAAAAAAAAATAACAACTGATCAAATCTCAGCGACTTTTTGATCAAAACATCTTAAAACGTTGGCAGTGAAAAATTAACAACGTTGAAAAAATACCAATTGGGTAATTTTTCAACGGGGTCAAAATTTAATGTTACACTGCCACTTAACCACTAATTACATGTCCTGTACGATTTTATGGGCAAAAAGAGGAAAAAACAATAGAAAACTTGTGATTTAAGCGATTTGAGCATAACAAGTGAACCAAGCATCGTAAATTGGCAGTATCTGATTTTATGACCGCGACAAAGTCAAAAGGTTAAAGCCAATATCGTGCATGTTAGTTACTATTTCTACTACTTATGTAGATACTGATTGTTGAGCTGCATATCAAATTCTTTTTGCGTTAAGATATATATTTACGAATTGCTGTCATATATTTATATGTACAACCGCTTGATAACGATAATGTTGACAGTGCTTATAGCTTCTAAAAACTATAAACCATCAAGAATCTTATTTGTAGGGGGGGGGGGGATTACTGATTACTAACGGCATTTACCTTCTTACACTTGAAAGTACTCACATAATTCCGTCACCTTTATTTCAAGAATTACCTAATCTTTGACCCTTGATTATCGTGATAATTTTTTATTCACTCTGTATGTAGATTTTCTCTCCTTTCTATTTTATTACTGAAAAATTACTTTGAATTATATGCAGTTTATCGAGGTGCAAAACAGAAATTTGATTTGACAATCTATATTTTACTTCCATTGTTCATGTCTGACGCAAAACTTTCTTTAGTATAGAATGGGTAAATATTTATCATAGCTGATTTTTATCCTGCTCTACTTTTATTTATTTTTTACTTTCATAAAGTATATCAGAATCCATGAACCTGATGTACGACCACCAGTTAAAGAAAAAAAATAAGAAAGGAATTATAAGGCACTTTGGGGATGGGAGTGCATCTGTTAGAATGCGTTACAATGTTGAAGAAAGCCGATAATCGCTTTGTTAGCTTAAGGACAAACCAATGGCATGTTACTTTGTTAATTTAAAGAAAAAATTTCAACAGTTTTGACAATTTATTTCAAACAATCATCTTAAACAATAGTTAACATGAATACAAGAGATATAATGTGTACAATGTATATCAATTTTGGATAGTTTGCAGTTTGGATGTAAAATTTCGCTACAATACCGATTGTTCTTTGTATACATGGTAATTTGAATGCTATATATTCACTCATTATTTAAACTTGCTGAATATTGAATTAAATGTAAAATTTCTTGTTGGTGATGATGGGTTTTTTTATAAATCATTCTTATTAAATCACTATAACATTTTAATCATGTATGTGGTTTACTCTCTCAATGTGTAGCTGACTGGTTAAATTTCCGGGTAAAAAGTCCTTCCATGATAAATATCATACTACATTTTTCAAAAACATATGGATTTTAGACTCATTCCATAATCTGGGAAAACATAAAGGAGGCCTATATGCACTGTCAAGTGTGTCTAACGGATCCTTCGTTAAATTGGGCATGTCACACACATTCCACAATCTTCAGTATGAAGCTGTATCTAGAGCTAAGCTATTTTTCCACACACCCACACACCACAACTAATTACTGAATAGAAAACACGTGTCGATTTAGATACTCTTTTAGTCTCTGTATCAGTACATGGAATTAGACCTGTACTTCCTTACGTACATTTTCGAATGCTATACGCATAATTTAAGTATGGTATAGTAAACTGTAAACTAAATTAAACTGCTTTTCATCATATAAGTAACTAATTGCCAATGCGTAGAAAACAGATATTTTTTTGCGTACAGTTAGTTTATCGGCTCAAGTATCATGAGTACAGTAAGAAATACGGAAATATTGTAGATATATGCGAAATAGATAGTTAAAACTTTTCGTGTTTTTCGTTTTGCTATATACAGCAAACATATTGTTGTTATAATATCTGTTCCATAACGTCTGCATATGTATTCTTTTTATAAGTATGTCAGATTGCCGGTGGCATTTGAAGTATCAATTACCTCAATAACTTTCTCCTAACAATGAAAAGGATTCTTTTATTTTAACCATTATTTACAAACATATCTTCCGCTCCGCATGTATACTGTTATTGGGACAAAATAATACAACATACAACAAATATTTGAAGCAAACTGATTCTTACCCACATTATTTGTCACTTTCCTCCGCCATTATTCCGTATCGCACATTTCACCTCGCTTAAAAAGTTTCGCACCGCTATACGTTCGACCCCCCACCCCCTGTATATAATCATTTGCAGCAAATATCGCGAATGTTACTTAAGGGAAGTGCGTGTTTCTTGCATGCAGATTGTAGTAGTTTATCAGCTCAAAATGCTCAGTACTTATTGGTTCTAGGAACGAAATCGTATAAGTCTCATATCGCATAATTTGCATAATCAGTTTACCATCATAATCTAGCAAAACATATTCCCATGTGAATAATTAATACACATTATAGAGAGACTATTTGTTTGTTATATATCACAATGAGAAGAGCAGTGGTTTAACGCGTGAAAATGTTAATATTTTCTTACTTCCAGGTATGCTTTTATCATAGGCATAAAGCAAATTTTTTATGCCTTCATAGTAACATTATTTTTATTGAAGCGCGCAAGAAACATGCATGTAGAGAGATATAACGTCAGACGTCAAACGCTTGCGGGAACGTTGCGGGATAAAAAGTAGTTCAAGTATTAAGTCTTCATTACGATGTGAATATACTAAGGATAGCATAACGCATCAATTATTTTAACGTAAATTCTCCATGTGTTTAAATATCATCTAAATTTATTTCTGAACATCTATTACGATTAATTCTCCATATCATCTTAAACTCTTTTACACGATTATTTCTATATATCAGCTTCTTTTTACCCGGGGGGAGTACGTTCAAAATAACGCTAAGTATCCAATATATTTTCGCGTTTACTTCAAGAAACTCTTCATACCAATTTCAACTATTTCTCTTATACATCTTTGCATATATATCACGAAAAATATATTTATCTACAATTACCTGCTAAAGTATCAGTCAGACGGAAGTTCTAGGTATGTGTTCAGTTCACATAGCGCGTTAAGATATATAAGATTTTTTGTTTATATTTTCCTCATGCCAAACAAGTTCGATCTAGACTGCTCTTTCTGATCTGGACATTACATAAATACATGTATATGTAATCTAAAATGTTTGTGGGGCATTAATAATATCATTGTAAGACCACATTGTTATTTTTCCATTCTGAAACCAGTTTGAGTAACACTTCTCGGAAATTTCCTGTGGGTTGAAATTATATCATAGAGTAAATATACCCTGTGCCATATTTATGATTAAACGAGAAATATCTTTTAAAACGATTATCAGCCTAAGTAAATATGTTTAACATGCAAAATTATGTTAAAGTTAAGTTTTCAATACAAAAAGAAATGTTAGCAATGCTTGCATAACAATGACATGATAATTATTTCTTGCAGCTATTTAGAAAAGATCCATTTTGTTAACATTGAAAGCAAATTATAGCATATTTATATTGATAATTTTTCAAAGAAGAACAACGTCTATCTAAGGTGTTCCTTTTTATTGTTTTACGTTTAACTGTATAAATTTCGGAATCATTTACAAATTAACCTTAAAATTAAAAAAACTATCATCATTCTTGTAAATTTATTTTTAGAACTATCCTTTACATTTTATTTTATAGTGGCAAAACATTCCCTTAACTTTTATTAAAAAGCTATCCTTAAAATTATTATTATATTATTTTAGAATGGTAGGAATTATTCTTTACATTTTATTACATAATGGATAGAACTGTCCTTTACATTTTATTTTAGACTGACCAGTGAGATTCACCTATTTCATTTTATAATTTTAAAATGACCAATGAAAATTCTTCATATATTCAGTCCTCCCCTGTCAATTTTACAGGAAGTCAAACTGATAACAGACGGACTTCGTCCGAAAAACGCATCATGAGAAAACTGAAATATGAAAAGGATAACGTGCAAAAACGCTAAAACGAGACAAAATTTCATAGCATCTTCGTATTAATTTTGCTACGTTTGCAATAACAATAATACATACAAAAAGGGAAAACGCCATGAAAACACATATATCATGTAAATATAATATATGTAAATCAGCCAACATAGCAATTTTATTTCAATTTATTTTTTCAATCAAGTAGAAAAAAGAGCTTTATGAATAACAAACAAAGATTATATTATTATCTGATATTTTTATTTTTGATGGAACAAGTACGTCGTATAGAATAAAATATTTTTAGAGTTTTAATGTGAAATAAATCAATTAATTAATTAAGACAATTCAAAGACAATGTTGTTTAAGCCCGCATCAAACTTCATTGGTGAAACTTCTTTCGATTTTTGTACAAGATACTAATGACTAAGATAAATTTCCCTGCCTGAAACAAATTGTATACATGTATAATAAACAGTATCTGAAATATATTGTTAATTCTATCGACTGAAATAATTGGAATGGTCTTACACAAAACAATACTTCAACATATTAAACTTTCATTCAACGTTCATTCAAATTAAATGAATTTGTTACTGAAATAATGCGTTTTAACTGAAACGAATACACAAATGAAACTATTATCTGATAAAAAAACAACTGTTACCCCCAACAATCCAGAACACCGTCAGTACATTCGCAGGTTTTTGGGACTTGATGAACTGTAATCTCTATTTTATTGCCATTGTCAACCTTTATGGCATCTTGACCTTTACCGTAGAAGCATGGTTTACCTGCAACTGTAAATAAAAATTAACGAATATTGAAACTATTCACAAACTACAAGGCAAGGATATCGAATAATGATTATAGGCATACTCTGATTACAAATAGTTTTTTTGGAAAAAAAACACAATTGTTCTGGTTTTACTATCTCTGTATTAAAGAAAAATTCTCTTTATTTAATTATCTTAGTTATCTAAATGTTTATTACGTCAAATTTGTATTGGTAAGATAATCATCTGAACTTGAGGCGATCAATTATAAGACTATGACGTCCATCTGTTGTTTAAGCCAATAGGAAACTACATATAAACATGTTGTTTGCCTTTTTTGTTAACTTTTTAGCAAATGTTGAATAAGCATTAGCAAAATATATTTATATACCTTGTATGAGTTATCTAAGACAAAAAAAATCGTGATATACTATGTAAATGTAAAATTAAGCATTTCCTGAAACCAGTCTTCATCAGCATATTTGCAAACAATAGGTAAATATTTTTTACATAAGTTGTTACGTCTAGATTTTGCTTGAATATTGGACCGTCTCTACAATAGGATTCTAGTGAACAAATACTCAGATCTACACTGCTCACAAACTAACAAACATATTTTGAATTGATCAGATTAATCAATTTTTGTACATACCGTTTTTACATTTTTGACAGCATTGTCCTTTAGCTGGAATCACTTCACAGTCATTCGGCAATATACATGTTATGCCAGCACACTTCGAAGAAGGTGCCGCATCAGCAATCATTGAATAAGAAAACAGGAAGAATGCAAGTAAAAATTTGACTGAATCCATTTTTTCCTGCACCGGTCTGTAAAATACAAGAAAAGGATGTAAACAAAAATAACATATAGTGAAAAAAATGATATCATAATACCTTTAGAAAATGACGAGAAACTCGAAATTCATTCACTTTTTGAAAAAGAAACAAAGTGTTCTACATGTTCTGCACTAAATAAGGCGAAAACAAGAACGAACGAATAGGAAGACCGATCTCTGTCGTCTACTTACAACAGCTAAAGCAGGTGTTACATGGGGTCGGAGGTTCGATTCTAGCACGGAATTCACATTTTTGTCACAGGCGTATAATATATACAGCATCATGTTTTTAGAGCTTTTTACTATTCATGTGGAAAGCGGTATCGTTAATTTGTTGAATGTCACGAATTAAAAGGTACTAAATGTAGGTATAACGTTGCTAAACGTTGTTTTGACGCTTAACGTGCAATTCGATTCAGAAAGTTACCATGGTATTTATTGTTTGTTGATATTGTACTATATTAATTTGTGAAAATATTTCAATTGCATGCGTTTATATCTATAGAAATATCTAATCCGTGTTTATTTTCCCTTTTAAACAATCTTTTCGAAAATACATGTAGTTTACATGTAGCAATTTATTGCATTCCATCATTTCGTCGTATTTTGTACAAATATCATAATAAATAAAGCGCAAAAAAATAATTGTTCTAGAAACTCCTGATTAGTCCAAATGAATTTATATTTCAAATAAAAAAATGTTATCCTTGAAACAAAAAATGTTATTATGATTTACATTTGAAACATTTGGGAAAGGGCACAAGAAAGGGACACTGAGCATAGAGGTGTCATATTTTTTGTGTGTGTTTTTTTTTCTGTTTTTTTTTTCCTTTTTTGTTGTTGTTTTTTTCCTTCTGATTTCTGATACCAAAAAAACAAGCAAAGTTTCAGGCACGCGTAAAACGGCTGCAAAGGAATGGTCAGCTGTGCACTGCATACCTTTAGCAGAACCCAAAAAAATGATACCTAGGCAAATGTCTGTGTTTACATCTGCAAAGTTGTTGAAATTAAAGATGAAGCGTTAGGACACAAACATTCCATTACGTCCATACTAGTAGCACTTGTTTAATACAGTGACAAGACGGGTACGCTTCAGTCAATACCGTAATGTGCTAGGAATCCGACAACATATTTCTTATTTTTAATATAGACAGTGTCACTCGTAAAGGTTTATCATATTGCCTTGACCATTAATTAATAATATCCCGATTAAACAATATATATACTTTTAATAAGCAAATGACCAATGATAAAAAAATCAAATTTAAGCATTAACGTAGTTTATAAGGCATTAAAGGCATCAGACTCATTATCAAATCTAACCAAAATAAAACATCACATGTGTGACCACGCTTTCCTATAATAAAGGCGGCTATTTAAATTGTTGAAACCAGAACTATTTCCGCACAGCACTATCCAAATCATCTCAAAACTTTAAAATATATCTTTTTTTCAAAACAAACTTGTTTCCTAATTTTTAAAAGCCAACAAATGGATATATTGAAAACTTCAGATGTTTTATGACAGTGCATTGAACAAGATAACATCTGTACACCGATGCGTTTTGTCCAAATGCAAAACAGTTCCCCTTTAGATGACATGATTCAATTTTAGCCTGGTTCGCATATATCGGTAAACTACAGACAGTTGCACAGTTCATTATTTAAATACGGAGATAAGAAAACGTTGTCTTTCCAATTGAAGAAAATGTAAATAATATGTTTTGCAACAAAGCCAGAAATTTGAAATTAAATCTGATGCATGTGAATGTTTTTATGTACTTGTGTTTTTTATGTTTTTTTGACGACGCGTAAAATAAATCGTGCCATTTCGCAGTAAGTCATGCGTCTGATTCAAAGTCATATTAGACTTGGATGCTTTGCAGCCGAATGAAATAACGATAAACAACTGTAATACATATATATAAAACTCGTTAGTTAAACACTGGCTGGGCGTCATCTAAAGATGTTTCTGCAAAAATTTTGTCTCCGCTTGACGACCTCGTTAATCTTTTATGGCATAAACATCAATCGGTATCGCCCAGTCAGTGTTATACCCTGTTTCTAACTAGTGTCATATACTTTAACTATAAAATTTCCACTATCATTATTCATCTTTACTATTAACTGTTCGGAAGTTCCTCTCTTTTGCAACAGAGCACATCTTTGTCATTAAAGTACATCTTAAAACTATATGAATTAAAATAAAATGAAACCACCCCATTTTTCAATAGAAACTAGGTTGGCGATTTAAAAACAAAAACAAATTGTATTTTAATTCGTATGTACCGTCTTCGTCATTTGAAAAAAATAATCTGAAAGTTGTGTTATTTGTTAATGCCAACTTATCATTAGAGACGCTTAAACTAAAAATTGCAAGTAGTGTCCTAATATTTCATAAAAGCTGTGTCTTCGTCTTTAACGAATAATAAGTATCTTTATTCAGCTGTAAGCTTTGTTATTTACAATATATTTGATACAAATGAAGTTTGAAACGATTGAAATAAAGCTACGCCAAAAGAAATGATAAAATATTAAATACTTTTACCTTGATTTCTCTGCAACTGTCAGATACTCGTAGGAGAATATACAATTTATACGCTAATTTGTTATTCCAATGAGTTTCCTCTGTATCAAACATATGACCAACCTTTCTTTATATACCTTTAACAAAATAAGTCCCTCCCATAAAATCACAGAATCGAGCGTAATTTATGATTTCAAAATGACTCTGCATTAAATCTAATAGGGAGTTTTCAACAAGACTGGATTAAGTGTTTTATCTTATAAGCCACGTGTTATTTTCATCATTATGCAACATTTTATGCCTAATCGTATTGAACAGATTTCAACTCTGTCAGGGAATGAATTTAAATTTAGAAAAATCTATGATTTTACAAGCTCAAGTTATGTGATAATGGTCAGGCGAAGCGACAAACTTTTAATTTTAGCATAACATAGTTTATGAAATAAATCATGATGAAATTTGTATGTGGGAATAATTTTAGAAATTGATTAAGTTTAAACATCGATGAAATAATTAATCTAAAGATTTTTAATAACTTTACTTAATGTCAAATAATTATCTACAGATTTTGTAGCATTAAGGACTAATTTATTTTCAGGAATGAGTCAAAATTATGAAATTTAAGATGTTTTATAAATTGTTACCAACCTTTAATAAATAACAATAAAATACAATTTTTATAACTTGTGTTAATTGTTTTTGTTATGAACACTAGATTTTCTTTGCATGTCAATATGTTAAAGAAATACCTATAGTCTTTTTTGATAGTGTGTCCTTTGTGTTCACTTTTCTTTTAAATGAAAATAAAACCAACATTTTTCTTGTGTAAAAAGCTTTGTCAAGTCGCATATTGCTCCAGACGAATCAAGCTTTCGTCCCACTGGTACGCATTTAGCTCTTCGAGATCTATATTCGTTATGTATGGACAAATAAAGCTTGCGAGTGCTTTATTCGTCAACAACAAGCATCGGGCCTCTCTTCGACGAATAAAGCACCCCGTCATGAAGTTAGTTAAAAAAAAAACAACAACGTCGGCACCAAATTATTGACTTGCAACTTGCATCTTTTGATGATAGTTCTACCAATTTTTTTCATATCATCATCAACAACAATAAAGATATCAGCATTATCATTATTAAAATCATCATTATTATCATTGTTATTATCGAAATCAAAACAATCATCACCTCCTTCATCATTATCGACATCATCATCACCATCACGTCCATTTTCAACACCATAACACTTATTATAATCACTTTTATCGCAATCGTTATGATAGACATCAACGAAACCATAATTCTCATCAACTCTATAATAATTTTTTCTTCAAGGATTTAATTTTATTATTACCTTTATCATCACCATCATGTACAATGATTATGATGATGTGTACTGGCAATGATGGTGATAATATACTAATGACAAACATATGCCAAAAATGTTAATTGCATGCATAAACAAATGCTTTTTGATATAGGGAACTTCATCGTCATCCTTTGTTAGAAGATATGTTTGTAATTGTTGTAAGTTGTAAATCTGAAGAATTATATTCATTGACAGATACAAAAATCGCGTATACGGAAGAAAACAGGAGATTTTCAGTAAGAATGCCAAAGCCTAACATTACATAAAGCGCTACTATGTCATCAAAAATGAACAAATATGGGTATCATTAGTTCTATTTTACAAAAGAAAAACGAATTATTGTAAAAACACACTCGCCGGCGTTCGTTAATCTTTAAGGATAACATTTTGGTTAATTTTTCGTTTATGCTAAAAAATTTCAGTACTAATAAAGTAAATACTAGTATGAAGAAAGCAAAGCCTCAGAGCGAGCTCTTTGAAAGAAATTATAGTTCTTTTACAACTACACTTATTAAAACTATCAGCGACTGCACACTTTTAACTTCACCTTCACTTTACAGTAGTGATTACATTATGCAGTACACTTTCCGACGCACAATTCACTCAACAATACCAAACACTATTTTTACTTTCGAAAATACGGCCATTTCGTGTTTTAAATGGTATATTTATTAAATCATACCGTCAGATAACATCAATTCACTTAAAATTCAATTTCGGGATTAATAATTCCATTTCGGAAAATGATATAACGAAACGGTAACGTACCGGAAGTTATTATGGATAAGATGCCTATAAAGGCTATTTCTTTACTGCAATTTATCATAAAATGTGATTAAAACTTCTATTTACGTACTTTATGATTTATTCATCAAACGATTGTGAACGCGCTTAGAGTCCCATTTCGGGAAAATGTAATTTCAAGAAACTTATCTGTCCTTCGGGAGCGTTGATGCCAGCACTATTAAGTTAAGAATTGAGAACCGCCCAAGCCGGTGCCAGGGGGCTTGAGTGATGTTGCATTTATTCATTATCTCTCATGTGCAGACTCAATCAAACCGAGATTTTTATTTTCATATACTTTTGTTGTTATTAATACTTTCGAGGAATCACTTTGTTACCAGATTTATCTACTTCACAAAAGAAGGTGTCAAGTGCCGTGTGGCAGCTGCAAAAAATTGCCCTGTAAATCTCTTCAGTGTTGTTATATTTGGTCCTTTGGGAGCACTATTAAGCGTTGAGAATTTAGTAACGCCGGTCCTAGGGGCGTGAGGGATGTTGCACTTATTCATTATCTCTAATTTACAGACACAATCAAACCGAGTCTGCAATTTTCAGGTAATTTGTTGTGATGTTGTGATTTAATGCTTTCCAGGGATCACTTTGTTTCCAGATTCTTTTTTTCTCCTTTAGTTTAATGGTTATTGGCAAGGAATTCTGAATGTCAATTTGAATGGGTACCATAATGCGAAAGGAAAACAAGAAAAACTGTTTCCAAGCGATTTTTGGTAAATAATAGTGCAGGTAACCTGCTGGTTTTGATTCCTGGCGTGTTCCAATAATAACAGGACAGGGAAACCAAAATCGCCTCCGATGAAGAGTAGGCAAACTTATTACCAATAATATTGCTGTACTTCAGGCGAAAGTTTTATAATCCATCGTTTAAGCAGGTACTCACATTACCGTAATACTCGCTTTGCGAGGCTAGCTCTTTGAACTCGCTTTTACATCGACACTTTATACACCGTAATGATCGAAAGGACAAGGTGAATGTCGCTGAGACTTGTAAAAGATAATAGGTAAAGGTCAATTTTCCCGAAATGCATTTTTAAGGAAGTAATTTTTGCTTAAAAATACAAACTGTCTTACAAATGATTTTTTTCTTTCTGTAGAAAGGGAAACTGATGAATTTACAACATACAAGATTCTTATATTATCATGAAGGTAATAGCGCTGAATGCTACGGTATTTATGACAAAGATCGCAAAATGTAAACAAAGTGGGTTATAAACAAAATATTAAATCATTATCTTATTAATTTCTTAAGTTCTATGGCCAATGTATATCTTTTTGGAAACCGTAACAGCTGTTAAAATGGACAACTTAAGGTTTAATGGGTCTTTAATCTCAAGTTTTAATATCTTTATATTCTTAATATGTCTCAAAACCTGTCACATATATTCACTTTCAACTTTTAAATACTTGTTTACTAACAAGGGTAGGTAATTCTGCTAAGTTGTTTGCAAAATTATGTGAGCCGCGTCACGACAAATTTGTTATAAAAACACCTTACATTTTACTCGTACATGGCTTAGTATAACAGTTATTTTATATAAATAAGCCGCTGTACATGACCATACAACATCTCTATATAACGAATTTGATAATGCAGCAAAGTAACCTTATTTGGGAAATTCGGGGAAAAAAACATCATAAATTGATAAAGCCGTGTAAAAGTCACCATCATTAAAACACAAACGTGCAGTATTAAACACAAACGTGCAGTATTAAAAAAATTAATGATACGTTGCATCCATTGCACATGAATTTGTCTCTGATTATATAGCTTTGCATGTTTCTCGTAAAATTATTTTATTTTTGTTTTAGATTGTTTTGGCTTGAATTTAATTTCGAATCTTTTAAGACAAATATTTTCCTCCACATTAGGAAAATTTTGTAAATTGTAAAATAATAATCTTCTTAATAGTCTTAATCTATAGTTGCTTGTCAAGTGTTTTGGGCGTGACTGTATAAAGAAATATCGAATACTAGTATATATTCAATTTATCTCTGAAACTGAATAATTTTATTGCCCTGCACTTTAAAGATAATTTACAGACCGTTGAAAAATTTTGACACATCATAAACTGGTAGAATTAAATGTAAAACGCCTTTTTAAAATGGGTTTTCTGCTTCGTTGTGCAAAATTAAAAAGTCATAACAATTTTGAAAGAATGTATTTGGGGATACCTTTTAATATTATTTTTGCGTTTATTGTGCATACTTAAGACAACATAAAATCATTTAAAAGCTTATAATATGTGAAGACTGCATATTGAAATTGATGTCACGACAAAATGAAATGGAAATTGATGGGAAAAAATGTAATTTCCCAATTTCGACTGCATTACTTTTCATTTTAAAAGAAATAAACCTCTTGCTTAATCTTGATCTAAGGTAATTAATGATACAGAAAATTCAAGATGAATATGCAGTCTGGCAAAATAAACTATGACTATTTTATTAGGTCTCATATTATTTTAGAAACTAAATTAAAGTACACCCAAAAAGGTGCTGAATTGCAGTTAAGTGAATAAATGTACATTTGTATTACATTGTATAATATTTAGTTTTCAACACTGAGGTACTTAGGCCTAAAACAGAGAGAAAAATAGAATTTGAAAAGCTTACAGATATCAAGTGAAACTCTTACAATTAAAAAACCCTGCTAAGGATTAAAAAGAAATATACCGATAACTAAATTAAAAATCGATTGTTTTCCTATTTTTATCTGAACGCTTTTCAGTTTGTAATTTTGCACTATGAAAATAATTTTGAAAAATTGTTTGTAAGCCATCTCCGTTTCTATTGGTGTGCGCATATGCTTGTACAACCGGAACGCGAAAATGACAATGAAACAAAATGAAAATGTAACAAAACATTCGACAACAGGACAAGTTTCATTTGTCGTATGTGTCGTATTAACGTATACATGATTTTGCTACTTTTTGCGCTTTTTAGCCTTGGAAATACGAAAATGTGTGGTATATTAGTCTTTCATTTTGTCTCATCTTAAACACAATAATTTTTCAAT